CACGCTGTGCCGATCAGCTGTGTGTTGGCACAGCGCGGCAGTCTAGATGGGGATCTGCTGACCCCAGAGCCCTTCGTCGGCAGATCATTTATCCCTCGTGAAACAAGGCTTACAGGATCTGCCAACAAAGGGTTCTGGGGTCAGCAGATCCCCGTCTAGACTGCCGCGCAGTGCCGACAAACAGCTGATGGGCTCAGTGCGGCGGCCATTTTGATTTAAATGAAGCAGCGATTATTTAAATCGCCGCTTCATTTCCCTTTGTCGTCCTGCCTCATCTACATGGCTCCGTCGATGGAGCCATGTAGTTTAGACGTACCCTTAATGAGCTGCTGAGCCCAGGAGAGGGCTGCAAGAGAAGCTGCAGCCCAGAGAGTGTGGAAAGGGTTTGTGGCCTGGGGAGGATGCATCTGACTAAACTGGGGAAGACCCAGCGGGAGGTTGCTGGGGACATTGAGCCTTTTTGTTTACCTGCTGGAAGGGGATGAATTTTAATTTGTTTGAACAGCTAAAACTTGAGCACCAGCATAGCCAAGAGCAGGGAAACTGAGGCATCAGGGTCAAATACTGTCTGTGGTGAGACCTGTTTTGGCTCACTAGAAGACCAATAGAGCTTATGTACAGGCCAGCTTCTCCCTCTGATCTTTCTCAGGAATCCACCAATCTCAGAAACACCCACTCTAATGTGACTCAAATTACTCAGTCAAATCCCACCCTAGGAAAGGAACCAGCAATTTTTCAGGCAGATTGGGTCAGCTGTCTTTAAATTAGAGAGAAGTGTTATACACACACACACACACACACACACAAATCTGGGACATGTGTGCACGTGCACACAAACACAGACAGTTCTTTGTGATACCTGGGACACACACTGGAAGCTCTGTTCCCATCTCTTCGCTGACCCATTTCCCATTGTCTGCACACTGATACTGCCCTTGAAAAACACAGAAACATGGAAAGGCTTTCAGTACAAAACACCATGAGCATGTGACCAAGAGCTCAGGGGAACTGTAGCCGGAAGGGATGACTGTGATCACCTTGTCTGATCTGCAAAACACAGGCCATGGGACTTTGCTTGATTTATTATTTCCCTTGTGGGCTTGAACAGATCTTTTAGACAAACATCCAATCTTGATTTTAAAATTGCCTGTGATGGAGAAGCCAGAATGGCCCTTGGTCGGTTGTTCCAATGGATTAGTTCCCCAGCTTGTTAAAAAGTTGCCTTATTTCCAGTACAAATGTGTCTGGCTTAAATGTCCAGCTACTGGATCTCGTTATACTTTGGGATGTAAGACTGAAGATTCTGTTATCCAAATTCTGGTCCACATGGGGGTACTTATAGTGGCAGGGGGAATCTCAGACCCAAAGGCCACGTCCAGCCCCCGGCTTGCCTGGATCCAGCCCCCTGAGGCTCAAGGTCCCACCCAGCATTGGGAAATCTGTGCTGTCATTCAATCTCACCACGGGTATGGAGCACACAAAATGTACTAGGCTACTCCCGCAAGCTCTGGTTTGTGAGGGGAATGTGGGATGTGCCTTTCTTCTTTCCAGTCAGGGGCCATATGAGTGAGAGGTGGGGGGTAGGGGGCATGGTGTTTTACTTGTGTGGCTCCTGACTAATCTTTCTATGGGTGAGTGGCCCCTGTCCCAAAAAAGGTTCTCCACCCCAACGTATAGACTGAGGTCAAGTCACCTATTAACCTTCTCTTTGTGATGTTAAATAGATTGTACTGTTCAGACCTAACACTAAGACATACTTTCCCTACTTTTAATCATTCTCATAGCCCTTCTCTGAATGCTCCAATTCAGCAACCTCTAACGTATTAGGAACACAGAACTGGACCCCCTATTCCAGTAGTGGAACTGGACCCCTTAATCCTCATTTTTTGAGGAGTAACATTAGTTCGAACCAAGGGGTTTGGTTCAAACTAACGTGTCCCAGCTCACACTTTCACTTTTGAAACAGCTGGCATTAGGAGTAATGCGCCGGCGAGATCATGCTAATGAAGTGCGGGATATTTAAATCTCCGCTTCATTGACTATTTTGAATACCTGCATTTTCATCCCTAGTTCGAACTAGGGTGCAAGTGTAGACATACCCTAAGAGCCTATCAAGCAGTGGCAGTACTGGTGATGCTGCTAGACAATATTCACTTCTCGTGGTTCAGCAAATTCTCTGGTCCAGCACCGGTCAGGTCCCAAGGGTGCTGGAGTAGAGAGGTTCAGTCTGTAATACATGACATGCATCTGACGAAGTGGGTCTTTGCCCACGAAAACTTATGCTCCAACACTTCGATTAGTCTATAAGGTGCCATAGGACTCCTCGCTGCTTTTTGCAGATTCAGACTAACACGGCTACCCCTCTAATAGTCTGTAATACAATCTTCCTACAGCTATTCAGTATTCCCATTTATGCATTCAAGGATCATGTTAGCTCACACAGCGTCACACTGGAAGTTCAGTTCTCCACAATGACCCCCATGTCTTTGTCAGGACCATGGCTTTCTAGGCTACAATCCCCCACCCTACAAGTGCAGCCTACCTTCTTTGTGTCTAGTGTGTACAGTTACATTTGCTGGGACAGGTCATGGTGTATCAATGACGTGTCCTTTTCATTATTTACCATGGCCCCAATTTGTGTGTCATCTCCAACCTTTATCAGTGACGATTTCATGTTTTCTTCCAGCTCACTGATAAAAAGCCTAAAAAACATCAGGTCAGAAACCAATGTCTGTGGGACCCCCAGTGGAAACCTGCCAGCTCTCCCCTTCTGAGACCTATCAGTTAGCTAATTTTTCATCCAGTTAATGCGTGGGAAGGGAGAGAGTCCTGTGCAAAGGAGGGAGAACAGCCCAGTCAGCAGCAGTGTGGCCAGCACAGTGGCCAGAGGCCACACGGGGATTCCATCTGGGTGCGGCTGGGCTACAACACCCAGTTCAGGCTTCCCTGAGAATATCAGCCCAGCTGCAGGCCAGGGGTCTGATGGGGGCAGTCAGAATACAGCAGTTAGACAAGGCTCTTTCTGGGCCTGTAATGCCAGGCGGATGTGAGGGGGCTGGGGAATGCCTACCGTCCCCGCGGGTTTGCAGAGCGTAGTAAGGCTCTTCACAGACATAGCGGACAGTGGCTCCGTACTGAGTCTCCTCAGATCCTGGCTTGTAGGTGGCTTTGCCATTGGCAATAATGCTAGGGGGACCACAGTCCACAGCTGCAGAGAAAGACACAAAGGCTGGTTATCAAAGGGGCACCCCCACTGTCTCACCAGGAACCGCGGCAGCACCTCACTCCTCACTGGGTAGGCTCAGATCCCATTCCCATCCCCCGTGGGTCACCCTTTCCCCCAGGTGTAAGGCCAGGCTGGGACAAGCGCTGATAGGCCCAGACCCCATCTCCAGTCACCGGTAGCCGCACAGGAACGGGACGCTTACGGACGCATTTGTAGTGTGAGTTGCTCCATTCTCCATTGCTCTGGCATCTGGCCTGAAAGGCTGGCAGGCTGTCTTGGGGCTGAGAGAAAGCAGAGTGTGTGTCAGCTACCGAGAGAGAAACGTAACAGGACTGAACTTCCCAGCGGGGGGTTTCACGATAGGCAGGGGTGTCTGCACAGCAGCTAGGTACAGAAGGAGGCAGAGTGCTGAGTCAGACAAGGCTACCGGCCTGACCTGTCTGCAGGGGGGCGGAAGGTGTGACATGGGGCTAAGCAGGCCCAATGGTCTCATCGGCCACAGCAGCGTCCTGTTCCATGACCATGAGGGCATCCAGAAGCCCTCCAGAGCTGCGGGGGGAGGGCTCCCCATTTGGTCAAGTGCTTCTGGGATGAGATCTGCATACAACATGTTCTCTCCCTGTTGGGTTTTTGGGGCCTGGCCCTCATTTCCTTGCTGGGCAGGGGAAGGAGACGGCGCTTCGGAGAGTCTGGGCGAGACACTGAGAAGTGAACAGGGACATCTGGGCATCTGAGGGGAAGGGACTGGAGGGAGCTTACCGTCACAACCTCATAACCTTTCACGCAGGTCACCGTCACATAGTCCCTGTAGCTGTACTTGTCCTTCAGGGGGTCAAGCACAGAGTTCGGGGTGACACTCTGGGGACAGGGGAAGGGACTGGAGGGAGCTTACCGTCACAACCTCATAACCTTTCACGCAGGTCACCGTCACATAGTCCCTGTAGCTGTACTTGTCCTTCAGGGGGTCAAGCACAGAGTTCGGGGTGACACTCTGGGGACAGGGG